TTCACCCTCTCCAGGACAAACCTGTTTGTTTTTCTAGCAGTCCATGGTATATTCAATACTCTTCTCCAGCACCACAGCTCAAAGGCATCAATTCTCTTTCTATCATCCCTATTCACTGTCCAGCTCTCTGACGCATAGCACATAATTGCAAAAACTCTGGCCCAGATCAGGTGCACCGTAGTCTCCAGCCTGATGTCATTGCTCCTCAGTACTCTTGAGAGGTCTCTGAAAGCCAGGAAATCAAGAGACGAATCCATCACTTACCCATCTGTTTATTAATGTATTTTCTCCATTCACCCACTTGCTTACTTACCCATCCATCCATCCATCCATCCATCCATCCATCCATCCCTCCATCCATTCTCCATCTGTTAATAATCCTTCCATCTGGTCAGTCATTTATCCAACTACCCACTCAGCTACTCATCTACCCACACACCCATCCACCTATCCACACAATCATCGATCCACCTATGCACTTATCTATTCATCTATTTGCTTATTCACCATTCACAACTTTTTATATCCATCTCCTATCAGTCTGTCTTCCCATCCATTTGTTTATCTACCTACTTCCTTGTACATTCACTTATTCATCCACTCGTCTATCTACCCACTAATCCACAAGAAACAGTGAGAATGGAGAAGACAGTTTATCCAGAGGGAACTATGTGATAAGTAGAACTATGAGTGGAAAGGGGATGAGCTTATGATGACAGTGACCCAACCGAATCTGACTCCACTCTCTAAGGGAGACCTGGGTCAGAGCCCTTCAAATGCCCACCAGCTATAGGACAGCCCTTTGGCATCCTTGAAGGAGCAGCCTGGCTGCTTCTGCAGGGCCTTCCAGAGTCTGGGGCTTGGCCTCCAGGTATGACTTCCTCACTTCCTGACAGACATCGACGAGTGCCAAGAACTGCCAGGCCTGTGCCAGGGAGGTAACTGTGTCAACACCTTCGGGAGCTTCAAGTGTGAATGCCCACCTGGATACCACCTCAATGAGGACACTCGCATCTGTGAGGGTGAGCATGGGTGGGCCTTCTCCTGCCTTGCTTCCTTTCAGGCTTACCTCCCCTTCAGGTGCTGGGGCTTGAAATACCCCCAGGAGCCCGAATAATGAATTATACTAACTTCAGTTACATTATGGATGTAATTATGGAATTATGGAATCATACTAGGTGATTCTGTTACATTACTTTGTGGAAGAGTATCACTACATCACATTATTTCTGGGAGGTAATCTGCTCTACTCAAGGACTACCGGTTTAGTTATATTTTACTCCCAGGGAGCATTGGTGGCCTGTTCTTGTTGTGTGCTGTCAAATTGGAACTGACTCCACTGACCCTCAAGCAGGTTTTCAGAGGCAGTGAATTGCATGTGAGGAGATTACCCATCCTTCTCCCATGGAGCAGCTGGTGAATTTGAGCCACATGCCTTTGGGATTACAGTGTAGCTTCTTACAACTAGGCCACCAGAGCTCCCCTACCATCGTACCACTAGGAGAGGAAGACCCTCAGCCAGGTGGGTTAACACAGTGACTGCTGCAATGGCCTCTTGTGTATCAGGAATTGTGAGGATGGTACAGGACAGGACTGGGTTCAGATATTTTGTTTATTCTCTATGAGAATTGCTGCCTCTGAGCTGTGGTGTTGGAGAAGAGTATTGAATGTACCATGGATTGCTAAGAAAATGAACAGGTTCATCCTGGAGAGGGTTAAACCAGGCTACTCCTTGGAGGCAAGGATTCTGGGGCTTTGTCTGACATATTTTGGGCATGTTGTAAGGAGGGACAGGTCCTTGGAGAGGGACATCATGCTTGGGAGGGTGGAGGGACAGTGCAGAAGGGGAAGACCCTCTATGAGATGGATTGATTCAGTGACTGGGGTAATCGGGGTAGATGTGTCAGAGACAGTGTGATTGGCAAAGGACAGAGCAGGGTTTAGGGCTGTTGTATATAGGGTCGCTATGAGTCGCAAGCGACTTGATGGCACATAACAACAACAACAACATGAGTTGTAATCAACTCAATGGTATCTAACAACAATAATAAGACAAAGAAGAGGCTGCCTTCTTCTCCCTGCCTCCCTGTTCTCATTTAAGCATAAACTAATTGGGCAGCAATGCTAGTACTAAAAAATCCACTGTCATTGAGTTGATATCTGGGTCCTAGCACCCCTATAGATGAAGAAGAACTGCCCGTAGGGTTTCCAAGGTTCTAAGTCTTTACAGAAGTTGACTGCCTCGTTTTCTTCCTATGGAGTAGCTGGTGGGTTCAAACCACTGACTTTTCCGTTAACAGTTATATACATTCACCACTTAACAACAGCAATAATGAGACAGAACACCAAGAATGTAGGAGAAAACAGAGGTAAAGCAGGAGGCCAACAGTTCTCGAACAACTGAAGTGAAGTAAAGCACCGGATTCCAGCTTCCCTGTGTCTTTATTGAAAATTACCAGGGAGCAAATAACAATTTAGAATTCAATGCAAATAAAGCTAAGCTCTTTCTATTGAAAACCTTCTGCTTGACTCAGGAGGGAGGGGTTAGCACATACAATGCAAGAATCCTGTAAACACTTAAGGATTGCCTTGGTGCCTCAGGGTGAATTCCAACTTATACCATGCCTCCCCCACATCCTGAAATAGCATTTGGTTTGTTACAAATATGTAGTATGAAATTTGGCTTCCCATACTCCCCAGTGAGCATCTAGAACACTCTAGACAGTTCATGTTGGTCTTGATCCTTCTGTGTCTTGCTGGACACAGCATCCTGTCTTCAAGGTTCATCCACATGGTAACATGTATGAGGCCATTGTCTCTCTTCACGAATGACTACGCTTCCATTGTATGAATGGGCCTCGTGTGTTCATCCATTCATCTGTGGGTGGACACTCGGGTTGAGCTGTTCCACCTTTTGACTCTTGTGAACAGTGCTGTAGTGAACGCGAGTGTGCAAGCTCTGTGTCCTTGCTTTCACGTCTGGGCAGACACCTTGGAGGAGAACACATCTGTGCACTTTAAACACCCTTGAAAGCAAACTGTAGCCTGTGACGAAGTGATTTTTGTGGGCCTGCAATGGGGGAACTTATCCAGACAACCTTCCCCTCCCCTGCAGACATCGATGAATGCTCCACACACTCGGCCATCTGTGGCCCTGGCACCTGCTACAATACCATGGGGAACTACACCTGTGTCTGCCCTGCAGACTACCTGCAGGTCAACGGTGGCAACAACTGCATGGGTAGGAAGTGTGATGACCAGGGGACTGGTAATTGCAGGTCTGGGAGGAAGATCTGGATTTGGGGAAGAGGAGGGGAGGTTTGTATTACCTGAAACACTGAGATGTAGTATTAAGTAGGACCAGTGAAGCTGCAGATATTTAGGGGATCAGGGCTACCATGTATCGTTGCCCAGCTTGTGCACTGCGCAAAACAATGCAGGCTGTACTATGCATGATGCCCAAGTGTGTGTGGGGAGAGTCTTCAGGCTTCTGGTTTCTAATGAAATGCCCCTTCTCTGTAACCCCAATGTCAGACATGAGGAAGAGCATCTGTTTCCGGCACTATAACGGCACATGTTGGAACGAGCTGTCCTTCAACACCACCCGCAAGACCTGCTGCTGCTCCCACGACATTGGCCAGGCCTGGAACAGACCCTGTGAGGCCTGCCCCACACCTGCCAGCTGTGAGTGCCTTCCCCCAGCCTGCCCTTCCCAGTGCCCTGTGTGTGGAGGTGGGTGGTTCAAACCCACTCAGAGGCACCTGAGAAGAAAGGCCTGGCAATGTACTTTCAAATGGTCAAAATCTCGGAACAAACCCTGCAGAGTGTTGTTTGGCTCTGTAACATGTGGTGGCTCTGTGTGTTGGAGTTAACTGGACTATAACTGGTTTGATTTGGGGGTTTTCAGAGGTACAGATGAGTCATTCTTGGTGGCACTAAGGCATCTTCCACAGACATTGTGGGATTGGAGGGATGTCATCGAGTGCCAGGACTGGTTACACGAAGCAGGGCAGGGGAACGAGACTCCAGGAAGCAGCTTCGGCGAGGGCGTGGGTGAGGGCGAGGAAATGCATTCCAGGCAGGGAACAGCATGAGCAGAGGCGCGGAGGCACAACTGAGCCGCAGGGTAGGTTAGCAGCTGGAGTGATATCTGATAGAATGATCTAGCAGCCTGTCATGGACTCTGAGCGCTGAAGCAGTGAGAAGGGGCTGCTACTGGTGTACAGTTCAATAGACGGGGTCCCTGGCGAGCAGCTCTGGGTGCCAGGCTCTGGGCTGGTTCTAGAAAGTTAGAATAAAGAAAATTCAGCTTCCCTTCCCAGGTGGTACAGGCTGGTAGGAAGGTGCACTCAACGTGCTCAAGACAGCATGCACGGTCCCTCAGCTGCTTACTGGGCTGAGACATCTGCCCTTGAACTTGTGTGCCTGCAGAGGATGAAAGGTACAATAGGAAAAGACAGGTTCTGTGCTAACAGAGAGTCTGGCTACAGTTGGTCCTTTCTTCTCACGATACGGGCAGAGGGTCAGGCAGGAGAGAACAGGGAGCGAGGGAACACAATCCCAACACCTGCCCCTCCTGGGGAGTGAGGACAGGGAGGTCACCCTTTAGCGATATCAGCAGGAGATGATGGGAGAGTAAGTGGCGGTTGGGGGGGGCGGCAAGAGAGGTGCCCTCAGGTGTCCAGAGTCAGCATGGTGGGTCACAGAGCAAGTCCTGATGGTTAGATGTAATTCCAAGGGCATTCCTGCTAAAATGTGGTGGCCTGACGTGGTAAATCAGTGTAGATGGAGAAGTGAGAACGGATGCTAAGGTCTAAATGGAAGATTCCATCATGAGGGTAGTGGGGACTGACCACAGGTACAGAAACAAAGAAGGGACGGGAGAGGTCAGTCTGCATTTGAAAGCTGCGCTGCTGGTGTCCATCCTTTGACCCTCTCTGTGCTTGTCAAAGCAGAGGTAGGGAGACTGGTTAGAGGGGGCTAGGTGAGGGCTGGGCTACAGAGTAAAGAAACAAGGTGATTGCTGAGATGTGGTGGAGGTGACAGGTGGGGCAGGAATCTCTAGCTTACAAGGCTTGCAATCTCCATCCATCATCTATCCATCTGTCCATCATCCAATCCATTCATGCCTCTATCCACTTATCCATCCATCCATCCA